AAAGTACATTTTTAATATACTAAAAATATATTGTTCATATTTTGAATGTACATTTACAAAATAATGTACTTTCAATACTCAAATAATATATTTTCAATATGAATGTAAATTTACAAAATAATGTACCTTCAATACTCAAATAATATATTTTTCCTAAATACAATTTACATTTTTAATATACTAAAAATATATAATTTGTTAGTATGATCCGCACAATAATAATTAGAGCAAAAAAAGACAAATTATTATGTAGATCATAAAAAATACATTACTTGTATATTGAATTTACATTATATTATATAAAATAATGCATTCTTCTAAATGTAAAATACATTTTAAATTTTTAATATATTAAAAATACATTATTTTTATACTGAATGTATATTATTAGATAGTAAACAAAATAATATAGTTTCTATATTCAAATAATATACTTTTATTTATAGTCCACACCGCTGTAATGCTCCGCAAAAGAGTATATATAGAAGTGTAAAAGATACCACACCGCTGAAGAATTATACCCAAGAAAGAAAACAAAAATAGAAGATGAAGCAGCAACAGCTTGACAGTCGATAAGTGTAAATTTATCTAGCAATAAAAACTACTCGTAAAAGCATAGTCTTATTTAAAATCTAAAACATTTACAAACAGTTTCTTCTTCCCAACAAAAATGTGTAAATTGTTCTTGTATTCATGTCAACCCTTAAAAGGTTGGGTCCATCAACTTATGAATGTGAGAGCATAGGCCAACCAAGAAATCTGGGCGAGTCAGGAGGGGTTGAGTGCTGACTGGGAGAGAAAAGGCTCAGCTCCACATACGTCCCAGAAGTTCCATCTTTCTCCACTGTCCGGAAAGAAATTGATCCAGGCCTTGTTGAAGCAGCTGAGTTTCTACCAGGGCTATTCACTATAGCTCCAACATGGCTTAGGTTAGTGATTAGAGAAACACTGTCATTACGGTCATCACTTATCCTTCTAGCTTCTGTATCTTTTTGTAGGTTCCTCAATGCTAAAGCATCTGCAACAGGAAAGTACACTAGTGTGCAAATACCCACCCCCGCACAACACAAAAACGAAAGAAAACCCAGGAAAGCAAGAATTTCAAACACCACTTCCCCAGGGGCAGATAGAACAGATAAACCAAGAAATACAAACCTCAATGGGAAGAAACTAGAAAAAGAAATGATTAATGTGTACACTCTCTTTCGCAATCCCTTATTGATGATCAAATGCACAATTCGTCTTCCGAGCCAGGACAAATAAGAAGTTACAATGACAGCAAAGACACCAATACAAATGGTACTCAGTAGGGGGAAAGCACAAAGGGCAATACCATCATCATTATCACCTTTAGTCTTAGGCGAAGCAGCTACACTTGTAAAATAATCAGGTAATCTGTGCTTGTAACCATCCTTGTTAAATTTTGACCCAGATAAAATTATAATAAGCTGGAGAAAGAACACAGGCAGGCAAAAAAGAAGAAGGTAGCAGGCTGTTTTGCCATTCCATTTCCGATTCAAGGTCCCTGACCTCTGCAATGATGCACGGAGGAGAAACACAACACTGAGGAACAGGCATGGTTCCATGAACCCCAGGTTCGAAACAATGTGACATTTGCAGATAGTTTCTTGCCATTTCCAGCTAAGAGCATTCAACAACCTTCCACCACATCTCAAAAGACTCAGCCGAAGAATCTCTCCAAAACCCCACAAGATTGCAAAAAGGATGTATGTGATTCTGATAATCCAAGGACCACTGAAATAATGAAGTTGGATATTCCCTTGGGTGCGGATCTGATTGCGGAAGTAGATCAAATACAGTATGCAAAATAATCCAAAAAGAAACAGAGCACTGACAAGACAGATTGTCAACACACCTAGTGCATCAGCAACTTTCAGATGGGGCATTACCCAAAGCACAAATTCCACGCATGCTCCCTGTCAGCATGGACACCAAAATATCCTCTAATAAATAAACCTCTAATCCTTCGCAACAGGAAGTATACAGATTGATATTGGAAATCTCCTGTGAATGCCAAGAAAACCATATGATAGTTCTAAGACCAGCAATTTAGCCAGGGCAATGTTGGAGAAAGAGAAGTGGCTGTTTTATAGTCCTCCAACCAGCCAGTGTTTCAGCAATCAACAAGGAGAGATACACTGTTACAACTTCAAAGTGTTTTCAAGTGTCTTCGTAATATTGAAGACACCCTATAACATTCTCCAAATGTTAGCTCTTGCAACCTACAACAATACCAACAAACCTATAATAGATGTTGGAAGATGATTATTCATAAAACCAAAGAACAGAATGAGAATGTCAACAGAAAAAGAATAGAGGAAGCCCATATTCCATATGCCAAAGGGGCAATGAGTTTTTAAAAAATTGTTTTGAAATCCGTAAAAGCATATGGAATCAAAAATCTCAGGAAGAAATGGAATGATGAAAGCATGTCATACGACCTACTAACAGACATGAGACACTCCATCCAAAAATGATTACATATTGCAACCTGATATGTTTGGGACGACAGCAAGGGAATGAATGGATTAAGGATATTTTACATACTCAATTTTGTGTCTACCTTGTAAACAATAAAATATTCAAAGTTCAATGGCAGAACCCATTTTACCACAGTCAAAGGAGACATTTGTAGAAACTGCATTTAATATCAAAATTGGATAAAATTGCAGAAATAGGGAATTTCTGCTCGTTTTCAAAATTTGATTTACAATTTCCATTATCATGCAAGTGATTTGGCAATGCCACCCTCTTTCCGTGTCCAAAAGTTACCAGCTGCAGAGCTGCTCAATGTCACAGCAGCAGGCGTTCATTTCTCAAGTCTCCAACAGGATTTCATAAGATCAAATATTCATGTTGGTTTAGGACAAACTAACCACGCGAAAACTAAAACCAGAAACAAGGCAATATGCAAGTACATACGTGCAATAAGTAACCATAAACGCCCATGCAATAAAATTTCCATAAAATCATGACTACAACAATCCCCAGGAAACACCAGCAATCCAGAAATCGCAACAGAGCGTAATAATGAATCTAAATTATCTTACGGCAGCAATATCACGCATCTCTGTTGCATGAACATATTATCATACCGTTGTCAACGCCATATTACAACAGAGCCACAGTATAACATATAATAAACCTTCACATTGATCCCGCCGTGCGCCGTGCATATAGAAATCCTAGCCCTAACCGAAATAATACGACAATGGAAACGTTACAGGGATCAAACGAGAGCTTACGAGCCGCAGAAGGTCGATCCGTGGAGCACGAACGCAGAATCGAGAAGCTGGGCGAAGCAGCTCGGAAAACCCTAAAGAGAGAGAGGAAGCGCAGAGAGAAACCAGGGCAAAAGGCAGTCGCGAGAAAGGAGTGAAAGAGAGAGAGAGAGAGTGCGAACAGAGAGAGGGAGAGGACTTTGTTGGAGACAGCCTGTCGCCAGCAAATAAACCAAACCCAGATATGGAAATTTAAATCCATTTCTCTAAAATAAATAAAAAATTAACTGTATTTAATGGGACGGAGGACAGGCTGTACACAGCTGGATACCACCGAGCTTGTTGGTACGTAAAAGTCTCGTCCTACGTGGCACTCTGGTCTTGGCGGCGTTTACGGTGAATGTTCAACGCAGTATTTTCTTTTTCTTTTTTCTTTTTCTCTTTATTTTTTAAACACAATGACTTCATAATTACGTTAAAAAAATTTAAGTAATTCAATATAAAATTTTATATGTTATTTTGGACTTTTATTGGGCCTATAAATTGGGTCTGGGCTTCGTCATTTTCTCTAAGCAAGTGTGTTGGGCTAGACCAATTATCTTGATGTGTAATTTGTGGAGCTACCCATGCAATAAATATAATAAGAAATTTCAATAAGCCCTTAAATTTAATCTAAAAGTACAATTAAATTATCAATTTGACGATCATCAAAAGTCAGGCTACTGGCGTCATTAAGTCGTTTTCTCTAGTTGTCTTCTCTAATGGAGAAGACAACTGTCTGGTCATAGACCAAACTGGTCGTCTTCTTAGAGAACTCCATTGGAGAAGACGACCATATGGTTGTCTTCAACATTGAAGAAGATGACCGTCCGGTGATCTTTTCGGCGAAGGTATCGATCCTAATTTCTTTTGCAACTATTTTGACATATTTGAGTGTTCATTTTACTTTTTAATGTTAAGGGTTTAACTGCACTTTTAGGTCAAATTTTAGAATTTATTTTACTATTTTTCCTAAGATAAATATTTATATCTTAGAACAAATAAAAAATTTACAACCTTATTTTTTGGGGTACAAATTTAATTAATGCATTCAAAATATATTTTTTAAACATCTATAATTGAAATCTTTTAAATGACACTATTTTGAAAAAATATAAAATAAATTTACATTAAGTATAAAGCCATCACTTTAGATATATAAATTTGGTTCATAAAAGTCATTATTACAAGTACATAAATTCATTATTGTGCATTATATGGTTTTGGCATTGTTCTAGAGACTAATATAAGCAGTGTGCCCCTCAAATTTGAGATTCAAACTTATAAATTTATTTTAGTATCATTATTCCCCCCCCCTCCCCCCCCCCCCCCCCCCCAAAAAAAAAAATAAAAATTTGAGATTAACATTGCTAAGTTTCTCGTAATAAATAATGAAAGACAATGTTGGGCTCATGTTTGTGTGTCGAAGCTAGAGGTGCAAATAAGCAATATGTAAGAGTTAATACATGATTTGGTCTATCGACTATTAATATTTCACAATCTTCGACATTTAACTTGTTTAATTTGATTCCAAATTATATACCTGTTAATCAAAATGGTCATAATCATGACTATTTTAGTTTGAATTAGGGACTATTTTGGATAAAACTTGCTTAATTGGGAATAAAATTAAGCACGTTTAAAAATTGAGGACTAAAATAGTAAAATTTTAATAATTAGGGACCAAACGGGTATTAACTCCAATATGTAACAACGAAATGACAAGTGGAAAAGCTAGCGGCTTCTTTCATTTCATTTGTCTTTCCCTCTTGAGCAAACTGACAAGCAAGCTTCTCATATTCTTTGCCGACAACTAAAAATGAGTACCGAATAGTAAGAGATTCTTCACCGATGATTTTCTTCTTCCGCTTCTTCTTGAAGATTGATTTCCAATTTACATTTCTTGTGTTTTCTGCAGCGATTATTTGTTCAAGTTGTTGCTAATCGGAGACTCTTCCGTCGGCAAGTCCTGCCTGCTTCTCAGATTCGCTGTAGGTTCATCTCTCTACTTCGTATCTATACGTATACGGTGTCTATATAGGTGTATGATTTACGTATGTGTACTGAAATGTGCTTATCTTGAAGTAGTGTCTGAATTCTGAGAGTTAAATTTTTTTTTTTGTTTTGTTTTTTTTTCGGGTTAATGAAAGAGACTAGATTTTGCTATAACGATGCTCTATGGTTGTTTATTTCAGGATGATTCGTACATTGACAGCTACATTAGCACCATAGGAGTTGACTTCGTAAGGCTTTCTGTCAAAATCAGTTTTGATTCAACACTGTGATTGTTCTTTTTCTCTTTTCGGATTTCCTATAATTTTTCATTCTTAGCAAGGTTTTGGATTATTATTTGCAGAAAATTAGGACAGTGGAGCTGGATGGGAAGACTATCAAGCTGCAAATTGTGAGTATTTTTTTTATTCATTTTGTGACAAGTATTTGATTGAGTAGAGTGGAGTAGAACTGTAGAAATAACCTAAAGTAGGTTTTTCCATACATTTTAATCCCCAGGTTGAATTATATAGAATTCTTGTTTTTTTAGGGACGAACTTCCATGTTATAATGCCTTGTGTCTTTGGTTTTCCTAGTGGGATACTGCTGGCCAGGAGCGTTTCCGGACTATTACAAGCAGTTACTATCGTGGTGCACATGGAATCATTGTAAGATATCCATTCACGTTGTTTTGTTCAATTAGACATTTACGGGGTCGTAGAATGATAGGAATTTGGTACCAAAAAACTAGTGCAAGATTTGAGCTTACATGTTGTTTTACTTTCCTGACTGACTTTATAATGTGTCCATTCTTTGACCAGTTTGAGGCTATACAACTTAAAATTTAGCTCATATATACAAGCCTTAATTGTTGTCTCAATCCACGGTGGGCCCAAGAAGTTAGGGATATGCAATTGTTGAAAATCTTACATGTTAAACAATTTAGCACCAGGGGTTAGTTAAGAATTCAGTTCTGAAACTGTTCTGAATTATATCTCTGTATTTTACTTATTTTGTTGGATAGATTGTCTATGATGTTACCGAAATGGAGAGCTTCAACAATGTCAAGCAATGGCTGAGTGAAATCGACAGATATGCAAATGATAGCGTTTGCAAGCTTTTAGTTGGAAACAAGTGTGATTTGGCAGAGAACAAGGTTGTGGACACAGAAACGGCAAAGGTACCATTTTTTCCATGTAGTTATCCGGTTATCCCCATACCTTCTAGTTATTAAAAAGACCTTCTCTACCATCAATGAGAGAGGACTGTGTCTACGATTCTGGCACAACAAATATTGTAGCTTAATTTTATTGACATATTGTGTAGCAACAACAATATTGGGCTTGTTTGGTAAATGGCGTTTTGACTAAACCTTAGTCAAAACTCCAAACTAAATGTTTGGTAAAATGGCGGTTTGGAGCAGTGGTTTGCTCCAAACCGCCATTTTTGCAAACGCCACTAAGAGCAGCGTTTGCCCTTTGGTGTTTTGGGGAAAGCATGTTCTTTCCCCAAAATGCCCTTTATATTAAAAAAAATTGAGTCATTAAGGCTCATTTAATGAAGAGCCATCACGGCTCATTTAATGAGCAACCCAGCTTGCCCATCAACGGATGAGCAAGCATTTGTGCAATAAATTTTTGGAACCTTGAGGAGCCTCAAGGTTCCCCTACCACTTCTCCCACCAATGTGGGAGAAGTGGTACAATTAAGGGGAGCCAACACGGCTCCCCTTATGTTTTTTTTTTTTTTTAATTATTTCTTCTATTATTATTATTATTATTATTATTATTATTATTATTACTATTATTATTATTATGTCCTTATAGGTCATTTTACATGTTAACCACTAACCTTAATCAGCTAATTTTACCAAACATCTTTTTACAAGCCGCTGGTCAAACCCACTAATATAATCCGCTAACCGCCGACACAATCCGCTAACCTCTGATTGCCAAACAAGGCCATTGTAGCTTGAACAACACGCATACCTTAATTTTATTCAACTTAAGACTTCTATGTTTTCTTTCCTAGGTTGTATCCTAAAGTTCAGTTTTCTTGTTTCATAGTATATTTAATTATTTATCATAGTCTTTCTTTTGCTAATAGTAAGGGTTAAGTGTTTTGACCTGTATTCTCTCCCGTCTCCATATATGAATAAAATCCTAACATAACCCGGTCCAAATTGTTTTTGTTTCATTGAATTGCAGGCATTTGCAAATGAGCTCGGTATACCTTTCCTGGAGACTAGTGCAAAAGATTCCATCAACGTGGAGCAGGCTTTCTTAACCATGGCTGGTGAAATTAAGAAAAAGTGAGATAACCTTCTCTATATTTGCTAGATAATTTCCCTTTTTGTTTTTTACCAGTTATCTGTGATTAGCTATCATTCGACTAATTATTATGAGCCTATGAAATTATCATCTACTGAAATATTTTCCAAGCACCACACCACTTTGGATTAGTTAAAGCCAACCTGACTGTTACATCAGGGGTTATACCCCACCCACCCCCCAAAAAAACATAAAACAAAACTAATGAATAATGATCGGTTTTATATTAACTTTTTGGCAGTAGAAAATTAGAGTATCTATTACACTAAGTGGCAAAACCCGCTGTGCACCATGACACACCAAACATGTCATGAAACCCAATTTAGAAATTTTCATTTCTGTTTAATTGATTGTGCACTTTCAGTTATGAGAAAATGTTCGCTTTTAAATACATTAACATGTAGTGCCATGTTTGAACTCAAGTTTTGGATCTCTACCAATAGCATTAAGATAATAACAAGGACCAGAGTATTTGTGTGTGATCAAGGATGAGAATAATATCGATGATGGTGGTCCTAAAAAATAGTGTGAAGAATCCAAAGATTTCGTCTTATGTTGGTCTGTAATTTTGCATACTTTTTTCACTGATTGCGATAAATTATTTCCGCAGAATGGGCACACAACCTGCTGGAAACAAGTCAGCTAGTACTGTTCAAATCAAGGGACAGCCAATCCAACAGAAGAGCAATTGTTGTAGCTAACTACTTATAGTGTAGTTGTATCCTGCTTTACAAATGTTGAATGCAAAGTAATCAAATATGTATTTCCCAGATTATGTTTACATGTGACAACATGTTTACAATGTGTACATTGTTGTTCTTTGCATATTGCAATTTGTTGCTATATATATATTTATGGCATACATCATTACTACTGGTTGTTGGGTTTTGGGGTCAAGATCAAATGTCTGAATGTGTGTGGGTGTTTTTGTCTGTGTATTTTTCTCCCTCTTTTTTCTTGTTGTTGTTGTAAAGAGAATAATATTTCTTAAAAATACAATTAACATTTTCATTGATCCATTAATAATCCAGCCAGGTAAATAATTGGTGAACAAGTATACAACCACTGGTTTCAATGAATAATATTTACAAGGACATTGAACACTAAAGGGATCCCAACACTAAATAATGAGTTTAAAGGTCATTGAATCATTGGTAATGAACTAATGAATCTTTACTTCAGAATTGAGATGAATATCTTTTGCAGTACACCAAGCAAAGTGCCTGCATTCTTCACAATATAATTAAAGCTAGCAGCCAGGTATGAACTGCACTACTAATAGACAAGCCTCAAACAATTCGCATATAAAGCCTCAAGTAGCACTCAGCTCAACCAAAAAGGTCATATTAATAATACAACAACAACAACAGGAATGGTAAAAAAATACAAAAGCTCGAACAATTGGCGCAAATAGGAATAATAAAAGAAGAAATTGAGAGGAAAAAAGCGCCAATGACCATTAGGATGAAGAGCAGCAAGGTTTTTTTGCGTTAGCCTCTTGTGCATCAACAACAAGAGTCTTCCCTTCTTTGATAGCAGCTGCTGGCTCCTCTGAAGAAAGCGACTTCTTACTAATTGTCCGATAGATTTCTGATAGAATCATCTGGAATGACTTCTCTACATTAGTTGCCTCCAAAGCTGATGTTTCAATGAACGAGAGGCCTTCCCTTTCAGCGTAACTTTGAGCATCCTCTGTGGCAACTGCTCGAAGATGGCTTAGATCGGCCTTATTCCCAATGAGCATGATCACAATGTTTGAATCTGCGTGGTCTCTCAGCTCCTTCAACCAACGGCTAACATTTTCAAAGGTTGTTGGTTTTGTCACATCATAAACTAAAAGAGCCCCGAGAGCACCCCTATAATATGCACTTGTTATGGCTCGATATCTCTCCTGGCCAGCCGTGTCCCATATCTGAGCCTTCACCGTCCTTCCCTCAACCTACATAACGAAACTATTAAGTAAACAGGCTATCATCTAAAAGCATTGTGATTCGATTCACTAATTCCCAACTAAGAAGAACAAGAATAATAGCCATAAACTGAAATCAAATCGTTGTAGCTCTTGTCCAACAATCCTCTAATTCATTAATACACAATGTGTTTTAGATTTATTTCTAGCAGCTTTAGATACAACAAGAAAATCTGCTCTGTTATAAACAAATTAGCAACTCATAATCCAGCCCACAATTCAAGGAAAACCAGAGAAATTATCAAGAAACACAATTCCAGCCCTCCAACCCAAATTAAGGCACAAGCAACTGAGATAAAAGTTTACTCAATGCACATAACAAAGCAAACCTAATGTAAAGATGCCACTATAATATTTTCCAAAAGCAATGTGTGCCATTAGGCCCATTACTAGCTTCACCATTGCTTGAAGAGAAAACCAAGAAGTTGAGGTCACATTTATAGTCCCCACCAACAAAAACCCAGAAAGAAAACAATAAAAGAATGAAACTTTAACCTCAATCTTGAAAAAAGATTAGAATAAACAGCAATAAGAAATGGCTATTATTTACTTATTTTATACTGATTCTGCAGAGGAAAAAAATAAGATTTAATAGGTACACAGTATTTATTACATTTAGTAAGTCAATAAAACATCAATTCCAAGGAGATCCAGTGCACGCATCAAAGAGCATTCACAGAATCACAGTTCATTAATGCACACAACATTCCTAAAGAGCAGTACGAAAACAACACATCCATACGTACATCTAGACACGTATACAGACACTCATGAGTTTGTAACACTAAGAATCGCAGATCTAAAGCATCAACGGCAAAACTAAGCAGCCAAAGTACATATTGGATCGAAATGCTAAAGACGATTTTTGTTTAGTGGCAATGATTTGAGAAGAGAAGAAACATGAATGACCTGAAGAGTACGAGTGGCGAATTCAACTCCGATGGTGGACTTGGACTCCAAGCAGAACTCGTTTCTGGTAAATCGGGATAGCAAGTTGGATTTACCTACTCCGGAATCGCCGATTAACACAACCTTGAACAAGTAATCGTATTCCTCGTCCGGTCTCCTCGCCATATTCTCTCTCTATATCTCTCTCTCTCTTCTTCTTCTTCTTCTTCCTGAGGAACCGCTCACTAAAGTCACTAGCTAGCTCTTCTGCGATCTACTCTCTTCTCGGTCTGAAACTCTGAATAAAGATCGTTGATGTTAATGACGAAAATGCCCCTGCTAGATACGTTCTTATGCGTGTGATTGTGGGCCAGGTTGTCTGAAATGTCAAGGATTTTGCGAATTTGCGCCCTTTGATTTCGCATGCATATTTAAAAAAGGATTTTTTTTTTGTTGCTATTTTTACTGTCTTTTTATTAAAATAAAATAAAATAAAATAAAAAAAAAAAAGCTAGATAAAGTCTCTAATTGTATTGGATATAGGCTCTATTTGGCATGGCTGGAGCTGGGAAGTTAAAAGTTGAAAAGTTAATAGATAAATAAGTTAATTAATTAAAATTAAATATTAAATTAGCTGATAAGTGTAAAAAGACATAAAATGATAAATTAAGATATTCAAATTTTAATTAATTAAGGATAATGATGTTATTTTTGTAAATTAATAAAGAAAAAATAAAAAAAAGTTTAAAAAGTCATATAAATTTATTTTGAAACGCTACTTGGGATAACATTTCAAAATAAGCTATTATTTTAAATTCTCCATTTTTATCGAAAAAAACTTATAACTTATTTGTAGCTTAAAATAAACTATAAGCTCTCAAATAAACACAATCAAATTTCATTTTGATTACTAAATATTTCATTTTCATTTTAAATTTTTATGTTTAAATTAAATTTCTCTTCAATTTTAGTTTTGGTAGTGTTTGGTAAATACTTGATAAATTAAAATTTAGTTGGTAAAAAAAAAAAGAGATAAGAAGAGTAGTTTTTTATTAGTTTTTTTTTTTTTTGAAAACGTAGTTTTTTTATTAGTTGATTAGCCTAAATTATGAAATGATAATTTTACACTTGTCATCAATCACCTTTATATATCTCTTATTGTTGTTGATATGTCTTGTAGCCCCTTTGTTATTTTTTTTAGTACTATTAACTATATTACAATATAGTATTTGTTATATGTTTTCTCTATATGTTGCAGCACAAAGAGAGTAAATACCCCACAATCAGAATTCAATTATGTGACCTTCCCTCAATGAGAGTCATAGAGGTGTCATCCGAGTACAAGGTGTTTGACATCCCTTGTTCTTTCTTTTTTTTTTTTTTTTGTAACAACAATAATAATACCGCTTTTCCTTCTTTATGATTTCACTCATCCTTGCAATCTATAATAATAATAATAATAATAATAATAATAATAATAATAATACTTTGTAAAAGTAATTTAAGAGATAAAAAAAAATTAGCATAATATGTTTATGTCTTTAGAGGTAATTTTATATACAATAAGCTAAAGGTAAAAAAACTAATTCACTAAACATTTTTTTTACAACTAGCTAATAGTATCAACTTATCAAATCACTAAACACATTTAGCTATCAGCCATCATCTAACTCAATTAGTTAATAATCATTTGTCAAACACTTCCAAGTGTTTTAAGGTAGGCATTTTGAGATGTGTGTTTGGTGTATGTTCTTAGAGCAACCTCATCACAAGTGTTTTATGATTTTTTTTTTTTTGGAATAAGGGTCAAATAGGTCATCGAACTGCACATGATAATACAATTAGGCCACTGAACCCAAAAAACCAACAATTGAGTCCCTAAACTTATCAATTCCTAACAATTCTTCCAATTTGAAGGTTTCCAACAAGTCAACAGGTCATTCTCCAAATTAATTATTTTTTTAAAAATAAAATTTAAAAATTAATTATTAAATTTAAAAAAAAAAAAAATCGGCTGAATTCTGTTTTTTTTTAATTATTTAAATAATTAATTTTTAAATTTTATTTTTTAAAAAATAATTAATTTGGGAGGATGACCTGTTAACTTGTTGGAAACCTATAAATTGGAAGAATTGTTTGAAATTGGTTAGTTTAGGGACCTAATTGTTGGTTTTTTAGGTTCAATGGCCTAATTGCATTATCGTGTACAGTTCGATGGCCTATTTGACCCTTATTCCTTTTTTTTTTTAATTCCGTAATTTACTTTAGCAATAGTTCATTTTTTTGGGATCCGCAATGACGAAAAATAAATAAAGATTCTTCCTTGGTGTGTGTTTGGCGCACCATGCACGCGCCCATAGTTAATAAGTTTTTTTTTTTTTTTTTCCTTTTTTTCCCATTTTCTTTCCTTATCGCTCATTGTTGAACATAAATTTTGAGAAAAAAATCTCACTATTAGGATTGCTCTTATGTCATTTTAATAATACTATGTAAAAGTTAGTAAGCAAGCCTATAATTAATAATCCCTCAAAATGTTCACATTATAAACGTTATCACCTCAAAGTGAATCGTGGATATTTTGAATTTACATCGAGTACAAAGTCAATATGACAACATTGTCTCTATACTTCTTTATTTTGAGTTTGTACCAAGAAACATGATATTGACCGACACCATAAACTTTTCCTATTATTATATTACTACATTTGAGTGTGAGCTGAAATTGTAAGAATATAGAAAAAATAATAATAATAATTGTACATTGCAATTGTGATGATATGTCAATATGATTTACTTCTAAAAGTAATATAATATTTTAGGAATGCATATGACCTAACAATAGAGGTGTTACTAATTGAGAAGTCGAGTTTATTATACCACGTGATTGAGTGACTAACATACTAATCATTTATACTTTGCAAAAAGAATGTGCATGTTTGCGTCATAAGACGTAGTTTAGTAATGCCTAACCAGAGTAAGATAGATCTTACAATGTCGGTTGACGCAAAGTAAAATTAAATTTTGATTAATAACATGGAATGAAGTTGAATCCTTTGTTACACTATGATAATAAACTCTATGTTTATGACTAGTTGAAATATATATTGTCATTTATTTATACATAACGCTTTAGAAGTAGCAATGATAACCCTTTGAGGTTGTAATTCAATCATAATAAAATATGTATTTTAAAAAATATATATTGTTCACATTAAAACAAAAGTCATGAATTTTTTAATTTTTTTAAAACAGATTTAAAAAAATATATACATTAATGAATAATGATCCGAAGCGGACAAGTGCAGTGGATGAATCTATGAATAATTTAAACGGTTGGGGCCAAAATATAAACGCGAAGAAAATAAAGCACCTCAACTACAAATAATCGCCTGCTTTGTTTTTTTTTTTTTTGTTTTCCATTTTGCAAACGTCAGCGGTTTTCTCGAGAAAGCGGCAGAAAGCCAGAAAGAGAGGAAGTAAAAAGAAGAAGAAGAAATTTATGGGAGGGAGAGGGCAACGAGAAGGCGATATTTCCAGAAGCAAAAGAAAGGATTTATAGTGGGAGACGAAAAATGAAAGAGATCTCTGTACGAGGGAGATCATTCCGTCTTCTTCTGTTCTTTTATTCAATTCTTTTGCAATTCGTTTCAGGTTCGTTTCTCGAATCTCTATACAAATAATAATAATAAATAAATAAATAAATAAAGATTCGCTGCATTGCTATTATTATACAAATAGAAAATTTGTGATTGCATTGTTTTTTATATGCTTGTTAATGTAATAGTCGAATCACAAGCCAATTGTGGAGCTCTTTATATTTCATATAGAAATATGGCTTAGTTTCCAATAATCGCATTGATGATTGGCTTGTTAATGTCTTAATGATGCCATTTCACAAGTAATGCCCCCCAAGAAGTTGCAATAATGTCCTTGTGTATGCTAGGTTGGTTGAAGAAGCCTGGAAAAAAATTGAATATTTTTGGTTCAACATGTCGTTTTGGTCTTAGCTTAGCTCCTTGATGCTGATGGCAGGACTGCATTTTGGTATAATTTGTTTGTTGAGCTAAAGCAGCTCTTTGTATGCAGTTAGATAATGCATTCTCTCTGTTATTTGATACCCTTAATCCATGATTGATGTGAATTACTTAATTTTGTGTGTATTTTCAGTCACAAACCACGAATGAATTGCGACTCTATTGGTACACCATCTTAGCATGCTAATGTCCATCTTAGTTTAGTTCCTTGATGGTAGGACTGTATTTTGAATTTTGATACAATTAGTTTGTTAAAGCACCTCTTGGTATGCAGTTAGATGATGCATTCTCTCTGTTATTTGATATTCATTCTTAATCCATGATTGATGTGAATTACTTAATTTTCTGTAAGTTTTCAGTCACAAATCACGAATGGATTGCCACTCTATTGGTACACCATCTTAGCATGCTAATGTCCATCTTAGTTTGTTCTTTCGTTGTTAGAGAGAGAGAGTGTGTGTGTGTAATTTTTGTTCTTGAGTTGTGCCTCCTAAAGCTTATATATTTGTTGATCAATCTTTTGAGGCAGAACTTGTTTATTACGGAGTAATGTTTATATGCCATTTCTTTCTTTAAGTTGCTTGCACAGTTGCACCTTAGGCTCTTCATTTACCCTAATTTCAGGCTTCTCAGACAAGCCACCGGATCCCAAAAATGAGACACCAGCTGATGCTCATACCGCTTCTGGCAATGGCTCGGGCTCAGAAATACTCGTAATATTCATAGTGATTATAGTGTTTGGACTGTTATTATTTTTCCTCTTCAAAGTTTGGCAAAAGAAAAGACGTGAAGATCAATATGCTCGTCTGCTAAAATTGTTTGAAGAGGACGATGAGCTTGAGCTCGAGCTTGGCCTTCGGGAGTGAATGTTTGCTGAACACGTTATTTTTTATGTATTAAGGTGAGGATTATCTCTTTAGTGTTAGTACACACATACTTGTACTTCAACTTCTACCTCTAGTTTCAAGTGGGATATTATACATCTTCTGTTTCTCGGCTTATCAATGTGAATATCCTGAGTTCTTTTATCTGTTCAGATGGAATTTCTATGTATAGTCAGATCCTTGCCGCCTATAAAGTGACAACTATGCCCTTATATCCCATGAGTCCATGACGTTGTTTACGTTCTTATTTACCTACCATTGTTGATTTGAAAGTAATCTGAACTCCTGCTATTTACCAGATATCCAGAAATCGCTGTTTGATTCATTTATCTAATCTTGTGTCATCTCATTTCGTTGTTTATGAGTTTTTAAACTGGAATTACATACCTTCGCGTGCTCTTTAGATATACATTTCTTTTTTCTTGCTGATTCATTCTGGATGAAGACTACTTGCATCTTTCCATTATTTGCAAATCATTTTCATTCTTGGAAACCTTTTATCTATGTCTATACTTGAACAGTTGAAGCCCTGCCCATAGGCCATAGTCTTTTATGTAGATGTTTCAGTCATTATTGAGGAATGTGGATTCCACTACCATCAAAGGATTTGGCTGATTACAAATGCTTGTGGTTGTCAGAAAATATTCATTCTAGCTAGTGTATGTATCAGCATCAAGAGGTTAGAAAATTATTGCTTTGTGTGCAACTGTCACCAGTCTACTCACTCTTCTTTTGTGTGATTCCTTTGTAGTATTTCTGTTTCATTGATGTGCAATTGGTTTCTGCTGCTTATTAGTTAACCCTGGGGAATGACAGAAATTTGTTCATGTCTTGCAAGACTGTAATTTCAGCAAGTTTAGTTCCCAGTGAGAGCAACTTATTGGTCGGTGGTTTGAGTTGGCTAGCAGTTATGGGCAATCTATAATTTTCCTCTTATGATCCTTTGCTGGTTAGGGTTGGGATTTACACAGTTTCTACAAGACTACAACCATGGCAATGTTGGTTCAAGAAAACACCCAAAAATTTTAAACCATCAAAGTGTGAATAAATTCCTTCCGATGATTAAGTTGGATGAGCAAACTAAATGTTTTATGGATAAGAAAATTGTGTATAAAGTGGATTACATTTCTTCTACTTGAAGCCTAATACTTATAGGCAATGATAACATGTAACTAACCTTTACATTATTGAGTGGATGAAGAATGCATAATGTTATACTAAAAGTATATAAATTACCTAAAAAACGGTGATTAAATGAATGAAATATGATTTTTGTTAATGACCCTGTTTGGTAACGTAGTTAGTGTATCAGTTAATTTTGACTTATTTGTCAGCTGTTTGACTTGATTAAACAATTAATATAAGTGTTTTTTTTTTGAGAGATTAATATAAGTGTTTTATTAATTGGCTTTTTGTAACAGCTCATTGTTCTAAAATGCTAAAATTAAAAAAGTTGTTCAAAACAGTTTTTTTCGATTAACATTTTTTGAGAAAGTCATTTTACACGTAATTAGCTAACAACTAATTTACCAAACACTTTTACCGTTCGTTAATGTTATCAACTAGTCAAACCACTAACTTAATCAGCTAGCAGATATTTATCAAACACTCCAATATCTTTTCAGTTAAACACTCCAATATCTTTTCAGTTAAATTTAAATAATTTGGTGATCAATTGTTCAAATGTAATATGAGAAAAATAAAATTTAAGAAGACTAAATACCTAAAATAGTCCATCGACTATAGCTAAATTCACAAATTGGTCTTCAATTTTTAATTTTAACCAATTAAGTCCTTAACTTTGCAATTTTAACACAATTTGGCCCTATGTCTATTTGATCGTTTGTTGACTGTGATTTTTGAGGATATATATGTAATTTCATGGTCCATCGTCGGGTTTTTAAAGTTCCGGTTGCATTTCCAGACCGCACTATTACATTTTAATCCACTGCCAAAAGCAATCTACCAAATCCGGTCGCCTTTCTTCATCCTCCCTTTGGATTTAATGTAGTTGAGTTCGTACCAGAGCGAAGAAGACGACGTGTTTCTGAACCGGTGCAACGTCATCCTGGAGGCCTCCACGTACTCCGACGAGAGCTGAAGGTTCTTCTGGAGATCGTCGATCACGGTCAACAAATGGTCAAATAGATGAAGGACTAAATCGTGTCAAAATTACAAAGTTAAGAACTTAATTGGTTAAAATTGAAAGTCGAAGATCAATTTGTGAATTTAACTATAGTCGAGGGACCATTTTAGGTATTTACTCAGAACAACGGTGAGGTTTATGACCACACATATCATAGCAACTGATCTCGACAGTGAACATGTTAGCGTGGCCTATTATAAACTGCAAAATACCAAAGACGGGCTGAAGCTATTTCCTTTTACGGAATATCTTTTATTTAATTTAATAATAATAATTCTCACTCCCTAACAGAATACGATCAATGGCGTCAGCTGGTGTTGCTACTTTCCTTCCAAAATTTCCCTCGCCCGTTTCAAAATTCCGTTCCTCCGGCAACAACCGCCGCCGGAGACCTACACTCTCGCCGCGAAATTCCGCCACTGGAGTCGGCGAGGCTTCTTCCTCTGTATCTTCCAACGGCTACCCCTCCACCTCCAAGCAACCCTTCCCTGGCACGCAGTACTTCTTTCTCCTATCATTTCATCTTTCACTTGCTAATCTATGTTTCTCTGTGTCCGATATAATCTATCATCGATGCATATGGATTATAAAACTCCAAATTACTTACGGATAAGTGAAAATACGTTGTACGATCAAATGCGTAGAAAGTGAGTTATATAATCTCTAATAATTTCGATATCATTATAGAATAAGCTTTGCCGGACAGACATGGTATAAGGTTTGTGGTTATCTTGTTTTTATATTAATGTGAGTGCAGAATGATAATGTGCAGGCAAATACGTAGAAAGTGAGTTATATGATCTCTAATAATTTTGATATCATTATAGAATAAGCTTTGCCGGACAGACATGGTATAAGGTTTGTGGTTATCTTGTTTTTATATTAATGTGAGTGCAGAATGATAATGTGCAGGCAAATACGTAGAAAGTGAGTTATATGATCTCTAATAATTTTGATATCATTATAGAATAAGCTTTACCGGACAGACATGATATAAGGTTTGGGATTATCTTGTTTTTGTATTAATGTGAGTGCAGAATGATAATGTGCAGGCAAATACGTAGAAAGTGAGTTATATGATCTCTAATAATTTTGATATCATTAAAGAATAAGCTTTACCGGACAGACATGATATAAGGTTTGGGATTATCTTGTTTTTGTATTAATGTGAGTGCAGAACGATAATGTGCAGGCAAGCCAGAGGCAGATGTTGTTGTTATTGGGAGTGGTATAGCTGGCCTATGTTGTGCCGGACTGCTTGCTAGATACCAGCAAGATGTTTTGGTACTTGAAAGCCACGATGTACCCGGGGGTGCTGCTCATTCTTTTGATATTAAAGGCTATAAGTTTGATTCTGGCCCTTCTTTATTCTCTGGCTTTCAATCAAGGGGTCCCCAGGCCAATCCTTTAGCACAAGTAATCGTTACAAATTCATCTTGTCACTAAATGTGGAATTATTTGCTTGACAGTTCTTTACTTCTTATAACAAGTAACAGCTTTAAGAGCACTGAAATGGGAGCTAATGCTTGCAGGTACTTGATGCTCTGGGCGAATCAATTCCCTGTACAAAATATGATTCCTGGATGGTATACATACCTGAAGGTGAATTTTTGTCTCGCATTGGCCCGACAGAGTTCTTCAAGGTTGATTTCTAGTTTCTTGTTTCCATCATTCCATGTCACTTAAACATCTTATGCATTTCAAATAGCTCATTCTATGTACATTATTTCTTACTTGCATGAAAGAGGCTAGCCATTATCTTGTAACCTGTTTTATTTTACTTTGGCTAGGTAGAATCCACTTTGATGTTTCATGGCTACTATGGAAATGTGGTTAGGACATTCACTGATTAGGAATCCATAACAAAATGAAACTTTGTGTTGCTTTTATTTATTTATTTATTTATTTTTAAAGTCACTGGAAATTGGTAACAGGAAAATGAATTCCAATGTTATTTTATGCTACTTGTGTGTCATCATGCATCATTTGTGAAACTTTTAATTTGGCCCAACTGACCTTAATGATTAACTTTCAAGTTTTAACTATATGTCCATTCTCCAGGATCTGGAAAACTATGCAGGTCCTGATTCTGTGAGAGAATGGAAAAAGCTTCTTGTGAGTTCCACATTTTCTCTATATCAATCTTGTTTTATTGATGCTTATTTAGAATGTCCACTTTATCTAAGCTTTGAGAAACTTCTTTTATTTTATTCTCAATTATGTTACTTGAATTATTCTGTTCCATTGTTCATCTTGTGAGTATCAAATAATCAAATCCTCTTTGGTGAAGGATGCAATTCTTCCAATGTCAGCAGCAGCAATGGCTCTACCTCCTCTGTCTATCCGAGGTGACCTGGGTATTCTTTCCACTGCTGCTGCCAGATATGCACCCTCCCTCTTGAAATCCTTTGCTCAAATGGGACCTCAGGGGGCCCTTGGTGCAACAAAGCTTCTCAGACCCTTTTCAGAAATTATTGATTCATTGGGCCTAAAAGATCCTTTTATAAGGAATTGGTTGGATCTTCTTGCTTTCTTGCTTGCAGGGGTCAAAACTAATGGCATACTCTCTGCAGAGATGGTAATTTTTTGCACCTTTTGCTCTCTAATTTAGATAAAGAAACCTCAAGATTTTAAAGTTATATTGTTGCCTTCTATTGCAGAAGATCTGTCTTAATGTCTGCCATGTTATAGGCTTCCTATGATAAATAATTAAAAATCCACAGAACATTAGTACTTTGGTTGTAAAATGTTACAGCAGGACTCTACTTTGCTCCAATGTTAGAGAGCATTTTTCATTACACTTCAATTTTGATAATTGTTCTACTTTTGCTAATCTAGCTCAAGATAAATCCAGTCCTTGTTTTATCTGGATAAATGTAATGAAGCTTTTCTTAGGAACGCAAATTGGTCCAAAAATTTGTTTTCCTTGTTCCGCAAATGCATGCCTCAGAAAATAATTTGAAAACAAAGGATGTGGCATATTGCCTATGCACATTTAGGAATTTTGGTTTTTACAGAATGATCTAAAACAGGAGCTCTTGGTGATAACTCCAATTAATCTGATATGCTACAACTTACTTAAAATGAGTTTGCATACGTTTGACACATACACTACTACACTAGGCAATCCAAGCACCACTTTTTGTTTGTCTTTCTACCCCATATTGTATTTTATGAAACCTTTTCTTGTTTGAGCTCACTTATATCTCTGAAGGCTGCATATGCTTCTTGTCCATTAATACAACTATACAAGAGTAAAATTGTATTCCCTACTGTTATAGGTTTACATGTTCTCAGAATGGTACAAGCCAGGTTGCACATTGGAGTATCCTCTTCATGGAAGTGGGGCTATAGTTGATGCTCTCGTACGAGGATTACAGAAGTTTGGTGGACGGATTTCTCTTAAGAGCCATGTAGAAAATATCGTTGTTGAAAATGGTAGAGCCACTGGAGTAAAATTAAGAAGTGGCCAAGTGAGTAAATAATATGTATGTAACAATAATATGGTGAATAACAAGAAAAGAAAATTTATGTATAATTGACCTATCTCCTCTCCTGTTCATTGATATCTAATAAGGTTAATTTACTGCAGTTTGTTCGTGCTAAAAAGGCTGTTGTCAGCAATGCATCTATGTGGGACACTTTAAACTTATTACCAAAGGATGTTGTTCCAAAAACATATCAGGACCGGATAAAAAATACCCCACAATGCGAATCATTTATGCATCTGCATCTGGGCTTCGATGCAGAGGTGAGTTGCTGACAAGTGGTTTCAAATTTCAAGATTTCATATTGCCTTATAATCGAAATGCCAGTTTCATCTGACACTGTTTGTTATTGAATCCATTGTAATGAATTTTTAACATCAAATTTGGATGATTAGGGAATACGCGATGACCTGGGAATCCATCACATAGTTGTGAATGACTGGGAAAGAGGAGTTGATGCTGATCAGAATGTTGTTCTGATATCTGTACCTAGTGTGCTTAGTCCTGATCTTGCTCCTCCTGGGAAACACATCTTGCATGCCTATACACCTGGAACTGAGCCATTTGAAATTTGGGAAGGACTCGATCGCAAAAGCAGTGAATACAAAAACCTCAAGGCGGAACGGTCTGAGGTATATTGGGAATTTTTTATATGTTACCTCTGTTTGAAAGTTTAGCCATTTGATAGTGATGTTACAATTATTCACAGAACTGAGATTGAGCTATAATGCACATGGGCTAAACCACACTAAAAAATTAAATCCAACCAATTAGTTAGTCTAACCCATGACCTTATAAACCCATATGTTCTCTCTTATTTTTTCAATGTGGGACTATTAACACTTGTCATAGATTATAGATATGTGAACTATGCTTTAGGAGAGCCTTGATTTAAAGTAGTCTGTGAAAATTAGAGTTCTAGGTGGAATAGTTGATCATTTTATCTACCACTTCATACAGCAAGCATCCATTTATAGGAACCTTGCTGTCTCTCATCTGATTCCAACTGTTCTATTTTTTCCCTTCTTTTATAGATTAAGTTCTTTTGTGTGAGCAGGTAATGTGGAAGGCAGTGGAAAGAGCGCTAGGTCCAGGTTTCAGTCGTGACAAGTGTGAGGTAAAATTGGTTGGAACTCCACTAACACACCAAAGATTTCTTAGGAGGAATAGAGGAACTTATGGACCAGCTATACTAGCCGGCAAAGACACATTCCCTGGCCATTCAACACCAATCCCCCAGCTCCTATGCTGTGGCGACTCCACTTTCCCAGGCATTGGAGTCCCTGCGGTTGCTGCCAGTGGTGCCATCGTTGCCAATTCCCTGGTTTCCGTGTCTCAACATTCACAACTTCTTGATGCAGTAGGAATATGACACTGCATTAGTATGTTAACGTTGCACTTCCATACTTTTCTTTTACTACAAAGATAACATAGTGTTAAATGACTATAAAACAGAGCAAAACATGCATGGTGTATGCCTTTTGGAAGGCTTGCACTTTGAAGCACTGCTTTTTTACTTCTCATGATGAATAGAATCGCACACTTCTTATCATAGATTTGCATTGGTCCTGATGGGACCAATGTTAGCAGGGACCAATCTATATGCACTCTGGTACTTAGCCACTTAGGCTCCCAGTGGTTATCCGAACCATGCGCTTTAGATTTGAATATGTAATCATTAGCTTGCACTTTTCCCTCTTTATTTCTTCCCTTTGGGTGAGAAATATGGCACCGAAATTTGATTCACTCTCCAATTACAATTGAAGTTGGCAACAAATATAGGCTGCCATCAGAATTCTAGTCTCTGAATTTGCTTCATTTTGATCATTATTATAGTATTATACAATGGGAAATCACATTTATGGTCTTTGAATGGTTTCCCTTTTAGAAATTTGGTCATATTACGTTACTTTGAACAAATTCAGTTTCCTTAAATATGCAACATTGTGAATAATTAAGGAATTGAATTTGTTCAAATTAACAAATAGAGACCAAATTTTTAAAAGATGAATAATTTGGGAACCAAAGTGCAATTTCCCTTGTAGTAATATCATTTCCAATTTCTTTGTTACATTTTCCATTGTAATTGATGGGTGTAAAACATTAAAAATCTAGGAAAGTTTAATTATAATCTTATCACTATAATAATAACATTATCAGTATTGATTTTTAATGTTCTAAGTTGCATGTTTTGTCTCATTCAGGGAATGAATGAGTATTGCCATTGAGTTTTTTATGCAAATTTATTTAGTGAGCATTGGTGGTCTTATTGAATATGATGATAATGTTAGCCTTGAATATTTTATAGAATTATTGATAACTGCTTAGTAGTATAATTTTTGTGTTAATTTATTTAGTGAACATTGATGGACTTATTGCCTATTATGATAATGTTAGGTTTGAAAACTTTATAGAATAATTGATGAATGCTTAGTTGTATAATAATAATAATAATAATAATAATAATAATAATAATAATAATAATAATAATAATAATATATCATAATTTTGTATATTCATTGAATATGTTTGTGAATTATATGAGGTTACGGAGAAACAAAATAAAAAGTTATTGTCTATTTGAGGCTTTCTTGTTGAATGGCTTTATCATAGAAAGGCTGTACATAGCTACTGGTGGGGAAGAAAAAAGTTGGATGGGTTCAAGAGATAATTAAAAGTGACAAAAAAGTCAACAATCTGGATGGTCCAATATTGTCCCATGAGGCATAGTGATTGATATTGACCATCGGATGAAAATGGTAAAAAATGCAGGGAGGGGGGCCCACGAGGCGTGGTCCAAGAGCATGATTGTGAGAAGCCACGTGGCTGGAGCACGTGAGAGAGACCGTAGCGGCGTAGCCTAAATTCTATTCTAATCCAAAACTGAAGGTGGGCGCCACTTGGGTCTCCCAGGGGCCCCAGCTCTACATATTGAGAAAATGGACAAAAGAGAATAAAAATGTCCGCGTCAGGCAGAAGCAGTGTTTTTATAACATTTGCACTCCGCTGTGGCCTTATCTATTTTGCCATGAATTTCCTCAACTGCCCTCGCCAATCATGCTTCGGAGACTCGTACCAAATGGTAGACTTTGGATTTAACCACCAATGGTAAATATTGCAATTGTAAGAACATCCTATTAGATGTTTTTTTTCTCGGTTTTTTTGTAAAGCTTAATGTGAGGTGGAAAAGAGAAAGAGAAGAGAATATTTGAAATACTTGTAGGAGGTAATAGTTTTTTTGTTTTTACAATGGGCCTTCTAAAAATAAAAATAGTGCTCTTGGTTTGCCATGCAATATTAATAATCATGTCTAGGCGCTAGGCGGGAGCAGAATATGGTTTGAATTTTATAATTTATTTTATTCTTTATTCTTGGTGTCTGAGAAGGAAAAAAAGTTTTATTAGAGGAGAGCAAATTAAACTTGAGTTTTTTATCAGCTCTCAACAAGAGCGCCATTGATGGAGAAATTGATATCTCCATAAGAATAGAGGAATGATATAAGGTGATTGTATGGAATTAATAAGTAATAAGAACACAATGATTTAACGTGGAAATCAAAAAGGTAAAAATTACAGGCCTTTTTTAGGCTAAGTCAAGTCAAAATTCTTTATTATATATTGCAGGTGTATGTACATAGGTAGCCATAATCATGGAGTGAAAGAGGAAGAAAAGTACATAGGAGAAATGTTAGTTTAGGACTGAATGAGCATGCCCTTTGTCGAATATAATCTCGGAACCTTTATATAAAGTCTTTTTTTGTGTAGTAACAACTTCTCGTAGCATTCCCTATTTTATTATTGGACTTATTCTTCTTTGGTTAATATTAATATTATTATGAATAATATTAATAATATGGAATATTATTCCATCAGTATTTAACAACATTTCACGATTTTGTCGACGGATGACAGAAAATGGTTATGTCACAATAATACTAAGACCAAAGATGATGTTTTGAAAAAGAAAGATTAAACATGTACTGCAACCTATAAATTTATGACAAAAAAATAGAATTAACTCAAATCTAAAATATATAAATATTTTCACATAATAATTTTTTTTTAAATATAATTATCGTAACCATTCGTTAGGCTCTGTTTGGCAAACCTAGCTGAAAAGCTATAAGCTAAGAGCTGAAAGCTGAAAGGGGACTGAAAGTTGAAAAACTATAAGCTCGGAGCTGAAAACTGAAGAGTTGTTAAGCTAGTTGTTATGATTGAAAGTGTTTGGTAAAATTATCTTTTTGATCAGCTGATAAATGTAAAAAGACTAAAAATGACATCTTCATAAAGTTTAAATTAGTTTGTTTACATATTAAAATTTAACATTTTACCTTTAAAAAAAATAACATTTTAAAATAAAACTATTAGCATAATCATGATCCAGCATCTCATAATGAAGTAACAATATTGTTGCAAATATAATAATAATAATAATAATAATAATAATAGTAATAATAATAATAATAATAATAATAATAATAATAATAATAATAATAATAATAATAATAATAATAATAATAATAATAATAATAATAATAACACTGAAAGTTGCGGATAAAGGAGGAGAGAAAATGGTTTTAATTGGAAAGGGTAAATTATGTCATTTCTTTAAAATAATAAGAATAAAGATGAAAAAAAAGTTAGGAAGCTAGGAGCTTATTTTGAGAACATTACCAAACAAAGCTTATAGTTTATTAGTAGTTTAAAATAAGCTATAAACTCCTAAATAAGCTTTGCCAAATAGAGCCGTAACTTTTTCTATATAAGGAACGATCATAAGAATATTAAATTATTTGTATGGTTAAAAGAATACTACAATATGTTTAGCAATACTTATATAACGAGGATAATTTAGTTCAGAAATACATATTTTAAGAATACTTAAAATAAAGAAATACATGTTTAGCAATATTCTTTTAAAATATGGTTAAAAGAATAAAGAAAGAGACACGAAATATAAAATAATAAAATAGAGCAGAATAATGAATTTATAAAAAAAAAATGTCATTATCAATTTTATGAAGCTTTTATTTTATTTAACTTTTTAATAAAGTGATAGTATGTGATTTATTGGTTGGTATAAATAAAGTATTAAACAAAAGGAAAAAAGAAGAAAAGGAGAAAAGGATTATTTGTGGAGTGTACCAAAACATGAATTGTGGTGGGAGCACCAAAAGATCTACCTTATTTAATAGGGAAGAGATATATGGCATAACTTAATCGGTTGATTAATTTCAAGAGAATTAATAATTTTATTTTGAGTATTTGTAAATCATTGAAATAATTCTTATAATTTATTTTAACAAGGCTCCAACTCACATTACACCAAAACATTAAATTTGTCTACTAAATGTTTAAATGTCACATCGAAAGAAATATTATCAGCATATTTTTACATCAAAATTTATTCATCTCCAAATATGGCGTGACACTGTTTACCAGCGGCAATTTTTTTGATGTTTTACTGCTGGTTGGAGTTTAAGAGAATGACGTTGAAATTTGCTGATTTGGTGTCTCCTTAGAGATGACCTAAAACATGACGAGTTAAGTATTGAGGTGTAAATTTTGTAGGAAAATTGATACTTTTAATATATATAATCTAATTAATAATAATAAAGGTTATTTGGTGCACTTTGTTTCTCTTATTTGATTAAAAGACTATTACACAATAGTGGAGTTTACTTAATACACACAATTGGATAATAATTGTGAATTTTTCTCATAATTAAGAAAAAAAATAATGTAAAATTAGTTACAAAATTGTGTCCTTGTGTATGTTTGGAGCTTTTCAAATTTTGTCTAATTTAGTCTCTATATAAAATAAAGTGTTAATTAATTAATGAAAATGCACAAATAAGCATCCCCAATAGGAGGTTCTTCCATGATTTTTGCAGGTTTTTTGAGCATATGTGGGTGAGAGAAAAATATGAGACAATGTTTTGGATATATGCAGGAGAGACTGGTTTTTACTATGACCAATGGGCCCCACAAAAAAAAAAAAACAAATAAACTCCCTGGTCTGCGTGAGGCGCACCAGAAGCGCCCAGCTAGGCGCATTAACTTTTTTTTTTTTTTTTTTTTGGGTCTAAAAACTAGTTTTTATTTTCTCATATCATATTTTCTACTTAGCTACAAGCTCCTAAAAATTTGTGCAAAAACTTAACATGTAAAGGTCTTTTTGGTAATTTAATTAACCTTATTTCTCATATAAAATGCTTTGGCCGGCCATCTCATTCCCAACTAAACAATCACAAGAATCAATTCAAATTTGGACAAAATTCTCGAGCTTTTTTAACTGAGATTGAAGTGATCAAAAAGACTATACCAAATTAGAACTTATTTATTTTTTGAAAAAAAAAAAGCTATTTTTATCATGCAGAACTAAAAATGTAAAGTGAACTAAAGCTGAATGCCAAATGTTGCCATTTTCCTTTTTTATTTACTATTTTTTTATAATTTAATAGTGGAGAGAAGAAAAAGAAGTGAACGGAAGAAAAGAAAGAGAGAAGGCTGTCACTGTACTCTCTCACTTATCAGTGAAGACTGTCAGTCGGTGTGAAAGTATTGAAAAGCTCCAAACACACACACACACACACACACACTATTTCTCTCTCTTCCTTCGCTCTTCTCTTCGCACTGCACTGTCAAAACTCAAAAGCATAACCCTAAAAGAAAACGGAAAATAAGGTAGATTTTTGTTTCCATTTCAAAATAATTCTTCCCAAATTTGGTAGTGTTTTTGCTTTATTTTGTTTTTTGGAAGGTGACATTTGATCGAAATGCGCGAGTGCTGCTTCG